TGTAGCTAGGAAATAAAAATAAAGATACAAATCTTGAATTGTACGTCAGGTTAGGGAACCTGTCATTTTACACGTGCCTCTGGATTTATTTTTATTATTTCCTAGCTACAAAATGACACCAAGCTCACTCATTCGCCACCTCTAATATTAATACATATTCCCTTAAAAATAGATTTGGAATTAAAATAGATTTGGAATTATGCATTTTCGCTCCACACCGGATTGGTAGATACAGCGGGTCACGTGAATATCACGTGATTAGTCCCTCCCCGATCGGCGCAACGTTTCACCTTTCTTATTACACCATGATCGTGTCGAACAATGTCGAGAAGAGTCTGGCTAAGATCTAGTTCTTTGGTCTAGTTCGACAAAACATGGCGTCGTCGTACATAACCAAAAACGTGATGTGATCGATGTGGTCCTGCACTATTCGATAAAATAATGAAACGGTACATTGCATTTCGCATAAAAATTGATTGCAACAAAGGACGATTACGAAATAAGAATTATATAGTAGTAAAACTATGGTAAGGCATGCTGCTATTAAATGATATAATTTACTTATATCATTTTAATGTATTTATAAGTAAATTAGAGGATATGTTTACTTATGAATACTATTAAAATTTATTTGTATTTGTATTTTTACATTAAATAAAATGTTAAAAATAACTTTATTATCTCATTGTTTTGTTCCTACTAATTGAATAAAACTGGTGCTGTTTAATAATAATGCTGCTATGAAATGATATAATTATTTATTTATGAATACATTAATTGAAATTATATTTGTATTTTCATATTAAAAAAATGGTTAAAAACAGCTTTATTATATTATTGTTCTATTCTTATTCTTTCTATGATTCTTACTAATTGAATGATACCGCGTCCAAGATATGACTAGCGAAGCTTCTACCGACTGTCACTAGGAGCGCCACAGAGAAATCTTTGCATCGCCAACATGTTATATACATATATTATACATTTTTCTGAGATAAATACAAAAATATAGCCTTTTATTATATGATCTATTTGAAAACTTGTTTTACGAATTGGCTTCAGATATTACAATTCAGCAATTTGATTTTTATTCTGCTGAATGTATTTAACTTGCCTATATCTGCTCCTGCTGTGACCTGCTGCTAATTGCTCAGTTGTTATGAAGGGTTTTTAATTGTTAGGTGAATCGGCGGTGTCAGTTTCGAAATATCTATAATAACTGCGTTGTATATCGATCAAACTACGTTCTTCCCCAATGACTAATGAAAGTAATATTTACGAGGTCTGTTGAGGATGGCAATCTTGCGGCAACATTAGCATTAGAAACAGTGTTCGAATTGTGAAAAAAAAACATATATTTATTTGTAACATTTGTGAAGAATAAGTTGCTGATTGAATATGGTAATTAGTTTGATTTTGATTTGATAAACTTTTGTATTGCAATCTTTTTTAACTCTATTCTTAAAGTGATTTTAAATTAAAACTATTTTGTTTATATTTTTAAAATAATAAAATTATTTTTTATTTTGGTATTTTGAGAAACTGTATAATTTTGTCATCTTATATGTTTGTTTATTTTGAGGATAAAATTTTCAATACTCTTCAATAATCTAGCTCTTAGAACTAGAAAAAAAATCTTAAGAACACACAGTAACATTCCATTCTATGTTATAATTTCCTATTTAATAATATAATTATTGTTTATAACATGTGTATTATATCACATTTGTATTATTGAGTAATTATAATTATAACATATAATGTTACTGTAGTTTATGTCTGTGGGAAGCAAGTTAAACTGAGATTAAAGTTCATCTACATTGCTATATTGACATAATTGAAATAAGTAAAACAGTGTCAAAGATACAATTGAGCCAAAAACTTGATGCTTAATATTTATATATAAATTTTAAATACGTTTTTCAATTGTATAAACTATGCATCTCAATTGCTCTTGGAAAATGCATTCATATCTACTGACTTATTTAATTAATTCTAATTTCTCTTTTTCACAGGCATCCACATCCAAAAAGCAAGCTCATAAGAAGAATATGATAAAATTTGAACTAACCGAAAAACAGAAATCTGATATAAAGGAAGCATTTGATCTGTTCGATCCAGATGGCACTGGAAAAATTGGTATCAAGGACCTTAAAGTTGTTTTTAGAGCCTTAGGATATGAACCGACAGTGAAAGAATTGCAGACCCTCGTAGCTGATGTTGCACCAGAATGTCCTAATTTATTATCTTATGAAGAGTTCATGAAAATAATGTTAATTAAAATGACGGACGTAGAAGAAAACCAAAGCGAAATAATAAAGGCATTCCGTCTTTTCGATGATGATAAAACAGGGAAAATATCCTTTAAAAATATCAAACGCGTTGCGATGGAATTGGAAGAAGAGTTGACAGACGAAGAAATATTTGATATGATTAATCAGGTAGATGAAGATGGCGATGGAGAGATATCATTAGAAGAATTTATAAAACTATTTAAGAAAATGTCATGTTAACTTTGTACTTGAATTCACATCCCTATGTCGAGTTACTGCAGAGACATAGAGTGTTTTTAAACTAATAATGTATATTGTATTTATATATTTAAAAGGAAGACTGATATCTTAATGTAATTATCTTTTGGTATTCTTGTCACCAATATTTTTATAAATTTTTATTTATTTAGATATTTAATGTGCTATGAATGTGCAAAAATAAATAGCATTAACTGCATATATTAACATTTGATTTGTTCTTTTCAAATCCTGCACAGTTCAATTTCAAAAAAGTATATATAATAAAGATGTAACTAAGAAAAAAAAAAAATATATATATATTAAATAACTATATCAATCTCTTATTATATATCAAAATTATGTACAAAAATAAGATACATATAATACTCCATTAAAAAAAAATATTCAAGTATTTATTTTCACATCGTTTACATTGAGTGTTGAAATAGCAGCGTCGATTACCGATCTAACTAATTTTGCTCTTGTTTTCGTTATTTCCAGTCCTTTGGAAAATAAATTCTGAGAGATTGGAATTCCGCCTATATTAAATTTATAATTATTATTACATGTGACGTAAAACTCAATATATAACAATTAAATCCATTAAATCATGCAAAACCCATTAAATAACAATAATAAAAAAATAGTATTACATTACATTTTACAAATACGTATATAATACACACCAGGTTTATGTACATAACAAATTGTTTCCTCATCATCCATCACAATAGAAAATTTTCCTGATGACAAATCTTCCTCATCATCCGTTGGATCAGCTATTAATAATTGTCTACAACATAAAGAGATTATTAATCAAAGATAAAATACATGTGAATATCTGTTACATTAAACTAAAACTGACTTTTCAAATACTGCGAACGATGTAGAAATTGGTAATGTTCTCACAGTAAACTTTTTTCTGTTTTTCGGATGTACGGTAGTTACTCCTGTCTCCTTAATATAATTTACCTCAGGTAAGGTTACTAGAAGATAATTTTTTTTATAAATTACAGAAAAGAAATTAAGCACAGACATTATTACATGTTACAGTATGTATATGTATAACGTACATGTTTTGAGAGCTGCCATCAATGCTCCAATGCAAGCATCTATAACTGAGCCATTGTAATTCAGACATAAGATATCGCAGTATAAGACCCATACTAATTTACTTTTGCAGATGCAAAGGTCTGTTAAGTCAAGTGCTGCAGAGTTACTCAAAATAATATCTATTGATTTGGAAAGCACTTGTGCCTGTTCGCTAGGTGGGCCTGGACGAAACTTTGAAGAACAGAGAGGAGGTAATTCCACATTTGGTATTATGTAACCATGATCCGGAGTGTTTAAGTTTGGTGTTGCTAATTCCTGAAATAGCATGATTTGAATCACCATATTATCAATAAATTAAAGCAACTTTAAATAAATAAATAAAAAAATACAGACAGTCATAAAAAGAACTACATAAATTTTTGTTTTAATCAAACTTTGTCTCACGTGTATTTGAAGAGATATACTTAAAAATACAATATAGAGTGCTTTCCATTTTATGACACAAGTGAATATTCTATCCTTGTTTTTACTCATAAAATATCAAGATAAAATGATATTCATATTTTATATCATTGAATGAAAAGTATCCTTTGTTGCTCATAAAATTTCAGGAAAGGTATAATGATATTTGTGTCGACATATGATGCTATGGCTTGTTTCTATCAATTCAGAATGAACTTTAATTATGGCTTAATTTATCTTACTTCTCATCTTCTTCTAATTTTTAAAACTTAAAAAAGATGACGAATATCGTTAAATATAGATTAAAATTAATCTGTGTCAGTGGAATGGCATAAATGGAAAGCAACCATATACATATAAAATGTTGTAAAACATACTTACAGCTTTAATACCACAAACTGCAGTTGTGTCACCCAATTTGAATATTGCTGAACTGTCTGCTTGAATGATTGAAGAAACATTCACACTTACTGGTCGAAACGACAAAAATTTCCTACCATCTGTCCGAACGTTTTGTTCCTATGAATGCCAGATTCTTTATAGAAAATTTTTGTGATGTTTATGTCTTAATTAATTCAATATGTATAAAATACTTACCAAATGATCTTGCATATATTTCACAGGGTGGATAGTTCTGAAAAAAAATTAAAAATATATTTTAAAAAATTATTTAAATTAAAAAATAAATATTATAGTCCACACAGTACTACTACCAATTATACAAATTAACTTTTTTTATCCACAGAAAAAAGAATGTGAAATTTTTACTAAATGCACTTTGTAATTTATTTGAAAAATAAGATACACATACTTGTACTGTAAATCCATTTGTACTACAATTTTCTGTATTTAACCCTATTTGACAGTTTCCTTGTTTGATAACACGAACTACGTGCTGAATTTTTATTTTAAAAAAGCAAAGTCTTAAAAAAAGTGTAGATTCATAAAAAAAAACAAGGTAAAGATGCAATGGATGGCAATCCTCTCAAAATCGCAAAAATCAATTAAATTATACTCATTTGACGCGTTTTTCCATAAAACGAAAGAAGTTGGTAGAAATATGCCGGCTGCACAGTGCAGCACACCAGCGTGATGTTCGTCGCGCGCGACGCGCAATATCTAATAAGCGTATAGCTTTACCGATGTTCTCATTCTAAAGCTAGACGCTCATTGGATATCGCGTGTCGCGTGCGACGAACATCGCGCTGGTGTGCAGCAGAAGTGCGTTCAGTGTCGTCGTCCGGATGCTCTCAAATGTCGTTTTATCCTTGTTGTTCAAGAATGATAAACAAGAATAACACGACACCTGGGTACACTTAAGTCAACAGGAGTGACTCCCAGAGAACTCTAGTCGAAGATGAATTTTTTATTCCCAAATTACGGCTAAAATATTGGATGGAACGCGTTAATTGTGACATTCGTAATTAGGAAAGGCTCCTGAAGGCTCGTACAGAGCTATTTTTTGTAAAAAAAAGGCATAATAAAAATTTGTTGTGTTATCTCACTCGATGTGTACTATGGTGCAGTTGAGAGGTGTATACATGATCTTATTTTAATAAAAATTTTCAAGAATGAATTTGCAAATCTGACTCTGTACGAGCCTTCCCAGCAATATAACAATAAAATCCCAACAGGTTTCATAAGGAAATATTATTTCTTTGAAAAAAAAAAAATGAGCATAACTGACCTAGATCTGCACTGATCTGCACTCATAAATGTATACCTTTATGCTGAAATGATGGCTAAAATATAACATAAATCGTGTTTTGATTGCGATATTCGTAATCAGAAAAGGCTTCTGAAGGCTCGTACAGAGCTATTTTTTTGTAAAAAAAAAAAAAAGGCATAACAAAAATATTTCTGGGTATCGATTATGAAACTTTTTCCCTAGGATGAAAAGTGAATTTTTTTACCATTGAAGTTAATGGAAAAATTTTTCACTTTTCACTTTTCATCCTAGGGAAAAAGTTCCATAATCGATACCCTGGTCTCCACGGGTCACTCCTGTCGACCCTTAAGTCTTAAACACAATTATCGCTATCGCTATTCCCTCGCATTGTGTTTAGGGCTTAAGAGAAATGATCATTCCTCCTCGCACTCATTTATGCGCAACACGAAATTCACGAGCGCTGCGAGTGTCGAGAATCGGAAACTGAACTCGAAACCTAAAATGGGTCCATGTTTTGTAGACTGGCGAGACTTAAGCGGGGAGCACAGACTTTTGCATAACGCATAAAGCACGTGCATAAGGAATTTCATTGGTCCATTTTCTTATGCATGAGTCAGTGGACCAATCAAATTCTTTATGTATATGGTTTATGCGTTATGCAAAAGTCTGTGCTCCCCGCTTTAGGCCTATCGCACATGAAATGCATAATGCCTAGTTCACACTAGGCGCGATGAGCGATGCGTGACGAGCGATAACCAATAAGAACTCTTCTTTACATCGTCGTGTGAGCTAAAGCAAAGCTTTTATTGGTTATCGCTCGTCGTTCATCGCCCATCGCATCCAGTGTGAACTAGGCATAACTGTGCATAAGCATAACATAAGGCCGCCGGACCAATGAGCATCCAGCATAAAGATGCCATATTGATTAACATAAGATGCTCATTGGTCCAGCGGCCTTATGTTATGCTTATGCACAGTTAAGCGGGGAGCACAGACTTTTGCATAACGCATAAAGCATGTGCATAAGGAATTTCATTGGTCCATTTTCTTATGCATGAGTCAATGAACCAATCAAATTCTTTATGTATATGGTTTATGCGTTATGCAAAAGTCTGTGCTCCCCGCTTGAAGGTTGGATTATACTGGCCGTAATCTGTTAACTTATGCTGTAATCTGTAAAAATTGACCAATTATAATCGATTATTCCCCTCTCATTCGACTGTGATTGGTCAATTTTTACAGATTACGGCATAAGTTAACAGTTTACGGCCAGTATAAATCAACCTTTATGCATTTCATGTGCGATAGGCCTAAAGCGGGGAGTATAGACTTTTGCATAAAGGTACAATTTCATGCTGACGCTTGACGCTTATTTTTAGCATCAAAACAGATCACGTGATACAAATTGACGAATATTAAGCATCAATTTTGATCACGTGATCTGTTTTGACGCTAAAAATAAGCGTCAAGCGTCAGCATGAAATTGTACCTTAACGCATAAACCATATACATAAAGAATTTGATTGGTCCATTTTCTTATGCATGAGTCAGTGGACCAATGAAATTCCTTATGCACATGCTTTATGCGTTATGCAAAAGTCTGTGCTCCCCGCTTTAACCTAACCTAATCTAATCTTTCTACCTTTTGCATCAACTGTCATCAGCTTATTGGTCAAGAGCACTTATATTAAATTAAAATGGCGATGGTTACCTAACCCAACCGACGCAATGTCGCATCTCTGTTTTCTATGCCTCTAGCGAGACTGAGCGGAGTCTCCTTAAATCTTCCTTCATGGTCATTGGGCGCGTTCAGCGCGGACTCACAGTTGCGTCAGTGTTCGTTGTTATTGGTGTATTCTTTCAGATCATCCAATCAGAATTTTAGATCTAGAAGAATCCACGAATAATAGCGAGCGCTCACTCAACTATTGAGTCCGCTGAATGTGGCTGAATGCGTCCATTATTACGTTGTCAGCTCTGATGACGTTCGTCCGCCGGCATGTAATCGGGCGTGAGACTTGACGATGTGATCGGTGTGATGGACAATAATTTCTAGGACCGCGTTACACGACGTTAGCATGAGTATTAAGAGTATTTGAAATACGCGCGTCCGTCTCTTTTCTTTTTCCTTTTCTCTTTTTCTTAAGCATTACTGCCGCGTGGTCGCACGGGAGCGAGGATAACGGAGAGGAGAGCGCGAGGATGAGCCTCAACCTGACGAAGCTATTCTCGAAGAAGAGGAGCGGTCCCCACGTCGACACCGTGGCCGCGGAGATTGGTCTGCCGACTAACGTCTCGCACAAATTTCACGTGAGCAAAAATGCCGAGACCGGGCAGCTGGAGGGTCTGCCGGACCCGTGGATACGTCTGCTCAACACCCAGATCTCCAAGTCGGAGCAGAACGAACATCCTGACGCCGCATTGCAGGCTATCAAGTTTTACAATTACTCGATCAAACGTAAGCCGCAGGATCAGGAGGTCTTCAAGCCGTTTGTCACGCAGGATCTGATCGAGGAGGAGTCGCAGGAAATCAACAACATCCTGACAAAGAAGTATCAGTTGGACGGGTCTGACGATGATCGCTCGACTTCCGAGAGTTTGATGAACGAGCAAACGTTACCTGAGCTACCGCCGAAAATAAACAAGCCGCCAAAACCGCCGAAACCTCCGAAACCACCAAAACCACCGAAACCAGCGCCACGCAGGTGCAACGATAGAGTGGAGAAGACTCTCACCGAGATACTAGAGGATCTAAACACATATAGGATCAGTAATGACGAGGACGTTCAGTCACAGGAGGAAGAGGAGGAAAATGTTTTACCAAGCAGAATAGAGGAGAGTCCTATTCTGCGAAGGAAGACGGAGTGTACGGGTGTAAGACTTAGTGATGAACAGGTATACGAGGAACTCAGGGCTATCTGCCAAAGCGGAGATCCTAACTTGCGATTTGAAAGAACTAAAGAGGTAGGCGCCGGTGCTTCGGGAACTGTGTTTATAGCCACTGACCTTCAGTACAGTCAGAAGGTAGCTGTGAAGGACATAGATTTGTCGAAGCAACCAAAGAAGGAATTGATATTAACCGAGATCAAGATTCTCAAGGAGTTTCAGCATCCAAATTTGGTTAATTTCCTCGATGCTTACCTGGTGGACGAACACCTTTGGGTAGTTATGGAGCTACTGGAGGGTGGGCCACTCACGGATGTCGTCACTGAGACAGTGATGAAGGAAGTTCAAATTGCAGCTGTCTGTAGAGAGGTTATCAAAGCAATAAGCTTCCTGCATACTAAAGGCATTATTCATAGAGACATTAAATCAGACAATGTGCTGTTGGGAATGAATGGTACGGTAAAAGTAACAGACTTTGGTTTCTGCGCGAATATCGATGGTGACGAGAAACGACAGACTATGGTTGGCACTCCGTACTGGATGGCACCGGAAGTGGTAACAAGAAAACAGTACGGCAAGAAGGTGGACATCTGGTCGCTAGGTATAATGGCTATCGAAATGATCGAAGGAGAACCACCTTACATGAAAGAGACACCACTGAGAGCATTATACTTGATCGCTGCCATTGGTAAACCTTCTATTCCGAGGTGGGACAGCCTTAGTCCGACATTCCAAAATTTTTTGGAGAGATGCCTCGCTGTAGAAGTCGATGAGAGAGCGACTGCTGACGAGTTACTCTCTCATCCGTTCCTAGAAAACTGTGCAGAATTATCTACACTTACTCCACTGATCCGCGCGGCGCAAAGAATTCTCCACAAAGCATTTCACTAAATATTTATAAAACATTTTATAATCGTAACATTTGTGATGTACCATTTCACGATACTTCATTGCTGTTTGTATGTTACGCTAAATGATGAAAAGAAGATACTTCGTATCTTCGTCGAAGTTGAAAGCCTCGAATGAATTTTATAATTATTAACATCTTAAACTTATTAACTGCCTTTTGTTTTTATTCCATTGTGTTAGTTTGTATATTACGAAATGAAAACATAATGGTAATGCTTGAGTCATTTTAAGATTATTTCATTCACATAACATGTTTAAAAAAATCCAAATAATTATTTTTCATTATATCGTTATTTAATTATATCATGATTATTACTCTCGCAAGATAGTATCGTGAAAATTCTTTGTGAAGATATTTAGGTAAATTTATAGATTTTTGAAATGAGCAAAATTGTAACGAATATTACGGTATTCTGCCTAATTAGTAACATTTTTATCATTCGGCGAAATACTGAATATCATAGTCTATTTGATCGAATACCGAATAATTTTAATCGTAAAAATACTAAAAATGAAAAAAAAAATTAAATGGAATTATAAAATATAGACA